CGAGCCCAGCAGGCCGAGGCTGCAGTGGCCGGGAGCGGCCACTGCACTCCAGTCTGGGTGACAGAGTGAGACTCCAACTCAAAAAAAAAAAAAAAGAAATGTGTGTTAATTTCATAATTTAAAAAATCAAACCTTTAATAAATTACATCTGCAGAATTTTGGAAAAGCCTTACTTGATGTGTAGCTTTCTGATAGTGTAATAGTAGTCAATTGTCACTGTTCCCAAGCCTTGGAGCCAGGGAGTCCATTTTTATGACAGTTAAGACTTAGGAATACAACTTGTGGCCAGAAAAGTGGGAGACATTAAAGAAGAGCTTATTATCATGTTTTATGTTTTTAATCATGTTATTCTAAGGAGAATTATGAGACTGTCAGTAGTGCTTACTTTGTTTGTTTTGTTTTGGTTACAGATTAGAAGCAGCCAAAGATGATTATCGAATACGCTGTGAAGAATTAGAAAAGGAAATATCTGAACTTCGACAGCAGAATGACGAACTAACCACTTTGGCAGATGAAGCTCAGTCTCTAAAAGATGAGATAGATGTGCTTAGGTAAACAGCCTTAGTTTCACAATTACCACCCTGAACAGTTCTGTGTCTTATGTTACAAACTAGGATCTCTGCACATCCAGGGAGTTCTTGGTTTTTTTGGGGTTTTTTTGAGTTGGAGTCTCACTCTGTTGCCCAGACTGAAGTGCAGTGGCCACTCCCGCCCACCGCAGCCTCGACCTGCTGGGCTCCGGCGATCCTTCCGCCTCAGCCTTCCGAGTAGCCAGAATTACAGGCATGCGCTACCACGCCCGACTGATTTTTTTATTTATTGTAGAAATGAGGTCTTGCTGCCCAGGTGGGTCTCGAACCCACGGGCTCAGGCAATCCACTCACCTCAGCCTCCCAAAGGCGCGGGATTACAGGCTGAGCCACGGCTACCACTTATTTAACCTTTTTGTCACCATTTTCTCATCTGTAAAATGGAAAGAATACACATGCCTGCCTTGGGTTTATATAAGGAGTTGAGTGAATTCATGTCTGTAGGTACTTGGAACGGTGTCTGGTGCTTGAGTGCTATACAAGTATTTGTTAAATAGAAATTCTGATCAGCACTTCTCACTTTTATGGCTCTGGAGCTTTTCTTTTTCCTCTTCCTCCTTTAATGTAGAGCCCCAGTCACTGGGTATTATTCCTCTTTCTCAGGTATTGGCATACCCTACAGCCCTCATTTTCTTGCTGGGCCTTTTTCTCGTCCCTTCAATTCTCTTACTAGGCACCTCACTCCCTGACACCTCATCTTTCCACCCCTTTACTTATATAATCTCCTATCATTTGTTGGATCATTTCAGCCATCTGCATTATATCCACTTTTACTTTTTGAATGCTGAGAACGAATTGGGAAAATCACATAGTAATACAGCTTCATTCTACTACAAATCAGCGATCTATTTCACTGGGTTCCTCCCATTGTCCCCTCCCCCCAATCAGTAAGTAGCACTGTTCCTGTTTCTCTCACAGCTGTCACATGTGTTCAGGAGTCTTCTTCACCTGCCACCTTCTCCACCACACCTCCCATGCCTTAGTTGCCTGGCATGGAAGAAAGCAGCCATGAACTGCTCCATGTCCTTTGTCTCCTGCAACACTCAACTCCCTGTATTCCCACCCATCTTTTCTTATTTTGCTTCTAGAGCTTAGACCTGTTATTCTTCCTCCTGTCCAAGGCTGACTTAGTGTTCTGGGTCTCAGTTCTTCTTGCCTACATAGGACTGTGTTATATCAGTCATTTCTCTCTACCCTTTGAATTACCCTCCTTTACACACACACACATGTGCTTTTTTAATCTTAAAAAATGAGAAGACTTATCACTCTCTTTTTCCCTCCACAACCAAATTTAGATTATATAAGGTAAAATGTAGCCAGGCATGGTGGCTCACACCTGTAATCCCAGTACTTTGGGAGGTGGAGGTGAGAGGATTGCCTGAGGCCAGGGGTTTGAGACCAGTCTGGGAAACTTAAAGAGACCTCATCTCTATATTAAATCAAAAAATTAACCAGCATGTATGGCATGGGCCTATAGTTCCAGCTACTTAGGAGGGTGAGGCGGAAGACAGCCTGAGCCCAGCAGATGGAGGCTGCAGTGGCCATGAGCATGCCACTGCACTCCAGCCTGGGTGACAGAGTGAGGCTCCAACTCAAAAAAAAAAAAAAAAAAAGTAAAATGTACCTTCTCTCGTTGACCCCCTGCTCACCTCCACTGCTCCACTGAAACTACTGTTCCTATGGTCACTAATAATTGCCAAATCATTTGTATACTGCATAATTTGTTGTACTTTTGTGCTACATTTGACTCTTTTGGCTGTCCCACCTGTTTGCTTTCTTTACATTATATAGCATTCTCTATTATACATTTTATTGTAATTTTGGTCTTATTTTTTAACTTGGTTTAAAAATTAACCTAGGATCACTTTTGATCTTACAATTTTATTAGAACACATATTTCCTGGCAATTCCTCTTGGTTTAGCATTGTCTGAAACAGTTTTGCAGCTATGGGATGTTTCTGATTTTTATTTTCCATCTCATTCTAGACATTCTTCTGATAAAGTATCTAAACTAGAAGGTCAAGTGGAATCTTACAAAAAGAAGCTAGAAGACCTTGGTGATTTGAGGCGGCAGGTTAAACTCTTAGAAGAGAAGAATACTATGTATATGCAGAACACTGTCAGTCTAGAGGAAGAGTTAAGAAAGGCTAATGCAGCGCGAAGTCAACTTGAGACCTATAAGAGACAGGTAAAAGAATAGAATTTCTTTTTTTTTTTTTTTAATTGAGTTGTTTAGGTAACTCAAAATACCTTCAGGCAGATATTTTTTTCAATAAAAAGTCAGGACTGCTTGACTGATGCCGAGAACACTAGAAGAATAGAATTTCTGCACGGTGTCTTATTGACAGTTTCAGGCAAACTCTCCATTTATGAGGGGGCCCAAAAACAAAACCAGAATTTATTTATTTAAAAATTGTGTATTCTTACATGTTTAAACTTAAGTCACCCTCAAAGCACTCTCCATTTGAGGCATTACATGTATCAAGATGCTTTTTCCACTGCTCAAAATAGTTTTTGATCTCGTCAGTTTTGATGCCTTTTAGTGCTTCTGCCATTTTTGGTTTCACCTCTTCCATGTTGGCAAGCATTTCCCTTTGAGTTCTTTTTTCATAGGGGAAACAAAAAAAAGTTGCTTGGGCGAGATCCAGTGAATATGGAATGTGGGGCATAGAGGTCCTGCCATTTTTAGTCAAAAGCTGCTAAATACTCAGCACAGTATGGACAGATGCATTCGTAAATGACTTGTTATGATATGGGCAAATGTGTTGAGAGAACGGCCACAGAAAAAAAATTCACTGAACTCAAACTCAGCCTCACAATGTTAGCTGGTACGCTGACGCTGATGAGTTCTTCAACCACTTACCTAGCAGGGGAAGCCTGTACTACAGGGGGCCCATCCTCCAAAAGATAATTCTGAGTTTTTTGGGGTCTCCCCTCATATAACATGTATCTTATCAAAAATCGACTGGCTTTTATTTTTATGTTCTGTTTTTACCTTTTCTTGATTTTATTTATTTATTTTTATCTTGCATTTAAAGAACTTTAAACTTAGTTCTTATTCAGAGGCTATTTGCTGGTTATTTGTATAGCAGATGCTTTTTTATTTATAAACTTATTGTGTAATACTTAAGAAAACACAAAAATAAAAGAATAATACAATAAATACCCATGCTTAAAAAATAAAACATACTCTTCCCCCTCATCATAAGTAACTCCTATGCTGATTCGTGGTTTTCATTCCCATGAATCTCTAAATGATACAGTGAATATCTCTTGTATAATTTATTTCTTTTTAATCAGTGAAATTTGTCTATGTTGATAGGTATAGCTTTATACCATTCATTTTCACTGCTATATAGTATCCCGTTGAGTGACTGTACCAAAATTTATCCTTTTTTCTGCTGAAAGACATAGGATATTTCAGCTTTTTATATTTTTTTTGAGTTGGAGTCTTACTCCATCACCCAGGGTGGAGTACAGTAGCACGCTCATGGCCACCCCAGCGTCCACCTGCTGGGCTCAGGCAATCCTTCCACCTCAGCCTTTCAAGTAGCCAGAACTATAGGCGTGCACTACCATGCCCAGCTAATTTTTTGACTTATTGTAGAGATGAGGTCTTGCCAAATTGCCCAGGGCGGTCTTGAACCCGTGGGCTCAGACAGTCCTCTCACCTCGGCTTCCCAAAGTGCTGGGATTACAGGCTAAAGCCACCACGCCTGGCTCAGCTTTATATATATGTATTAAACTCATTCGCAATCACTGGTATGAATTTACATAATTTCAAATTCTGCTCCTGGTTGTCCCTGACATGAATTTACATCATTCCAAATTCTGTTCCTGGTTGCCACTGATAGGAATTCATGTCATTCCAAATTTTGTTTCTGTTTGCCACTGATGTGAATTTATGTCCTTGCAAATTCTGAATGTTGCAATGTTGTCATATGTATGACATTATATTATTATATTTTCCTTGAAAATAAATAGTCAGGCAAGAAGAGAGAAAGTTAATTGAGATAATTATCTGATATCGACTGCACAATGTTGTTGATTTACATAGTTGGTAAAAATTGCAAGTTGGTCATTATTTTGTTGCAATTAGTGTTGTATACTTGTATTTTGATATTTCAGGGCTTTCATACTTCACCATTAAAAATTATTTACCATAATTATGGAAAATGAAGAAATATATGCTAATGAAATTTCCGAGGTCAAAGGTGAATCCAGTGAATTTATTAGTGATAGTGAGACAGATAGCGATGCAATGTAGATGAAGAAATATAGATAATCTGCGACAGTGTATCTAGTACTGGTGAGAATGAATCAGACATTGAGTGGACAAAATGTGATCCAAAAAGAAACTTAAAAGTGTTTATTGGTAATCCAGGTGTCAAGATATTTTCAAATGATCCTCAAAGTATAAGCGAAGGTGTTGGACTGTTTATTGGAGATGATTTTATAGAAATGCTCACAACTGAAAGTAACAGGTATTATGATAAGATGTACCACAGATATAAATGTCCAAAGAAATCAAAAAAGTGGAGCAGTACTACAGTGTCCAAGATGAAAAAAATTCTAGCATTAACTATTTTAATGAGATAAGTGAAGAAAACCACAATACATGATTATTGGTCAGCACATCCATCGATTGCGACACCTTTCTTTTAAAAAATAATGACACGAGATAGATTCCTACAAATTTTGCGGGTTTTGCATTTTTCCAATAATGCAGAAATGCAGCCCAAATCCAAGCAAGTTATGCAAAATTGAACCCATAATAAATTATGTTTTAAATAAGTTCAACACTGTGTTCAAGCTTGAACAAGAACTTTCCTTGGATGAATCCATGAACCTCATCACAGAAGACTGTCTTTTTTGGGTTTATGATCCAAATAAAAATACAAACGTTGGAATACTAGTCACAGTGATGTCTGAGGCAAATACTGGATATGTCTGCAACTTTCAGCTGTATTGTGAAAAAGGTGACAATTTAGAAAAGACCATTTCACTTGTGCTTAACAATAGAAGTTTGCGGCAACCAGCTTCAGATTTTTTTTTTATTTTCACCACTCTCAGTATTAGGAAAGTTAAAAATTTGCTGGTTGTGAATGTGTTCAAAGAAATGCCACTATGAGTAGTATTGAATGGGTCCTCTTCTATATGTGTATAAAGGTTTTCCATCTTTATGGAATTTCTTTTTTTTGATAGCAACTTATACATTATTTACTACTTTTCTCAATTGACTCATGACAAAAGCACAATCCAAAAGGATACACTCACATAATAACACTTTTAAACATATGTGGAGAAAGGACCAATTTGAAGTATTAAACAGAAAACATCTGAATATGAATCAACTTGAATATATTTCTTCATTCCAGAAAATATTTTTACTTTTCAACATTGTCTCATTTTGCTATAGATGGCAGGTCTTTCTTATAGTATTTCCAATGTAGTTAGCTGTCCCCAGATTGTTCTTCAAAGTGATTGTATTGCCAACAAGCAGTTTATATGAATTTTTATTTCTCCATATCAGCAACACACAGTATTGCCAAACTTTAAATTATGCCACTTAGATAGGTGTGAAATGGTGTCGCCTCCTGATGGCACTCTGCATTACTCTGATTACAAGTATATTTACTGACCACATTACTTTTGTGAATTGCCTATTTTTATCTTTGACCCATGTTTAAAATTAATGGTTTCTTACTGATTTCTTAACTTTTTTTTATATCCTAGATAGTAGTTTTTCATCACTTGTGCATTTTTAATCTTTTACAGATCTATTTTTTTTTTTTTACTCTTTTTGCAGTTGGTAATTTTATTTTATTTTATTTTTTATTTACATTTTAAGGAGATTTATTTGAGAAATATAATACAACAGAACACTTCATAGGAAATAATTAACCTTCTTGTGGGGCTTTTAATGGCTTCTTTTTTTCATTTTTTCTTTCAATAGCTTTAGAGGATACAAATACTTTTGATCTGGGCTTTAAGTGTACCCATCACTCCCACCTGTGCACATTGTAGCTGATAGGTGATTTTTTAAAATTTATTTTAAAGATGTGGGGTACAAGTCCAAACTGGCTACATAAGTGGTTTATGTATGGGTGAAATTTGGGCCTCCCATTGGACCTCAGCTTACCTGGTTTAGGATCAGGTACCCTAATTGATGTTATGTGTACTCCCTTCTCTCTCCCCCTCCCTCCAGCAGTGTCCCACTACTGCCAATCCCTTTCTTGTAGTAATGTGCTAGATGTTCAGGGTCCACTTATGAATGAGAACTTGTGGCACTCAGTTCTTTGTTTCTGTGATATATCACTGAGTATGATAGACTCTAAGTCCATCAAGTATATGCAAAGTCCATAATTTTGTCCTTTTTGGCTGCATAATATTCCATCTTGTATATGTACCATAATTTTTTTTATCCAGTCCACTTTCAATGGGCAGCATGGTTGGTTCCATGTCTTTGCTGTTGTGAATAGTGCTGCAATAAACATGCATGTGCAGGTATCTTTTTTGTAAAATTATTTTAGTTCCTCTGAGTATATTCCCAGAATGGGGATTACTAGGTCACATGGAAGGTTAATTTCTAGTTCTTTTAGATATTGCCACAACTTTTTCCAAGAGGTTGAACTAGTTTGTGCTTTCACCAACAGTGTAGAAGTCTTCCCTTTTCTCAGCATCCTTGTCAGCATCTGTTGTTTTTGTTTTATTAATCATGACCTTTCTTTTTTTTTTTTTTTGAGTTGGAGTCTCACTCTGTCACCCAGACTGGAGTGCAGTGGCCGCTCCTGGCCACCGCAGCCTCATCCTGCTGGGCTCTGGCGATCCTTCCGCCTCAGCCTTCCAAGTAGCCGGAATTACAAGCATGCGCTAC